ACCAGTCGGCCATTTCAAACCCGATCCAAAAAAAAAAATGACGTGCATCAAGGTCCTATTATGTTTAATGTATGTACCAAATGTGAACAAAATCCGTCCACGCGTAACTGAGATCCGGGTCCGGAATGGTGAAAATGTGCGATTTTGATGCATTTTCGGCCTTAAAATGGTCGCTATTCAGCTATCGTTAATCGGATCATGAAAAAAATGCATGTGCATATGTCCCATATAATGTGTGATGTATGAGTGAAGTTTGAACTTAATCGGTCCATGCATGTTCGAGATACAGGTGATCACGGACGCACACAGGGCAAAACATAAGTCCCCGTTTTCAGACTACGTCCGAACGGGGACTAATGAAAAAACAAGTACAGATAATTGATTAAAGATTTAATGACCTGCACAGAATGATGTTTATGAGGATTAAGGTCTGTGTTACATAACCCTAACTTATTACATTATAGTTTTACAGATATTCTATTCAATTCATTGTGCTGTTCTGAGATACTGAGAGCTGATACACCTGCCCTCTTGTGGCCAAAATATCAATATATTTATTTTTCAATTCCAAAAACAAATTTTTCACAGTAGCAAAGCTCTATGTTATTAATAAGCTAACACAGACACAGCAACATTTTTAAGTAAAGTTCACTCACATACCTTTACCATAGTTAGCATAGTTTGGAATGGTAGTTTTGTCAATACACTAATATTGCCAATTTTAATTGATTTGGCTATGCTAATATTGCCTATTAATTTTGACTTAGGGATGCTAGTAGAGCAAATTTATCCTGACTTGGGGATGCTACTATTGCCAATTTATCTTTACTTGGGGATACAAATACTGCCATTTTGGGGGCGTTTATTGACAGCTATCTAAAAAGCATCTACATGTATTTGGGTCCACATTTATTCACATAAATGAACTTCTTTCCTTTAATGTGTGATGCATAAAATCAACTCACATTCATAACTTCTTTGCTCAAAGTGTGGCGTGTTATCATTAACATCAGTGATTTCAATATTCATTTGACAGATACCAATAAGAGGATCTGGTGCAAGATCTGTAGCTGCAACTGAAATACCATAGATACGCTTCACTTCACGATCAAAACGTCTAGCTGTAGTGATAATGCCAAGATTAGGATCAATTCTGAAATTGAGATCAGCAGTCTCTCTACGAACTATACTGTATTCTACTTGTCCATTAGTACCAACATCTGCATCTGTTGCTAAAACCTGAAAGTTAAAAAATAGCAAATTTGTGAACGAATCCTCCATTTTCAAAAACCACATGCAATTTGAATTGTCTTACTTTGATGGAAAGAAATGCAATTTGTCAATAGATTGAGTTGTACAATAAATGCTATTTTCAATTTGGGTTTTATGATACCCTCCATCAGTGATGCCAGCAACTGGTCAAAATAACCACCTAGTTAGTTTCATTTTATTTATTTAGCACTACATCAAAAAACAAAAAAATGCATACATGTTGACAAACAGCGGCTTCTCATTTTCGTTGGGACAAACTACATTTCCATAATTTTTTTCTATTAGAGATTCAATCTAGCGGAGCATTTTAGTCAACTATAGAAAAAAAGCTTCATCCTAAACAAGCCAAAATAGCTGGTTAACCATAGCTCTATGAAAAACCTATATAAACTGAATACTGTAAACAGAAGAATTGTCCTTTTGAGGTGTTGGCTTTGACATTTTACTTTCAAAATCCTTCTAAGTTTTCAATACCTGATTACTTTCTCTATGAGTATATGACAATGAAGAAGAAATGTAGAAAACAATTTGTTACCTGGGTAACGGTAGTTCCTTCAGGAGAATTTTCAGCCACAGTAGGATTATAGTTAGCACAGTTAGGAAATACTGGCCTGTTATTATTAACATCATTCACTTGAATTATCACTATAGCTTGACTTCTGTGTATGGAACCAAGGCCATCGCAACACGTGTTGTCATCTATGGCAGTCACATTGATTAGATAAGATGCTTGCGTCAAATCTCGTGTTGCCGTGAGTGTTATTACACCTAGAAAATAGAACACATTAGTTTAACTTTTGATTTCACACTGCCTAGAGTTGTAACTCAAACCATTTTTCATTTTCCTCTGATGCTGCTATTCCTGTGGCTCATTTTTCCAAATTATTCCATTAGTTTAACAGGAAAAATAATTTCACCAGAAAACAACAATTACATGTGAAGTGTTTTCTGACTTAAATATGCTGAATGTAATTACAGGAAACAAGTTAGGGTCAGTGACACTGAATGATCACATGACTCAGTGTGAATAAAACCAACAGAGGCATTATTCAAACAGACCACAAATAAAATAAGCCAGATGTTGAAATAAATTCCAGGAAAATAAAAGTGATCTACAATGCTTCTAAATGGTGAGAAAAATGTGGAGAATGAGCATTGCATGCTGGGAACTAACCTGTATCTCTATTAATTTCAAAATTTCTGTCTTCGTTACCAGCAGAAATGCTATACTTCACTCCATCACCATCAGGATCAGTAGCAATTACTGTGGCAACTTGAAATCCATCTGGTGCATTCTCTGCTACAAAATACTTGTATGTGTTTTGTGAAAAACGAGGTGGCTCATCATTATAATTCTTGATACGAACATTAATGGTAGCTGTACCAGTTTTACTTGGTGATCCATGGTCTTTTGCTGTTGCTATTATGGTGTACAAGCTATTGGTACTCTCATAATCCAACTTTACACTTGGCCTAATTTCTCCGAGGCTGTTTATTTGGAAAGCATTGTTATCAATAGAATAACTAAGTTGTGCATTAGTGCCACTGTCACAGTCAGTTGCCAATACTAAAATAAAAAAAATAAAGTAATTACACAGATTATAATAGTGTGACTACAAAAGTACATGCACGGATGTACTAAAAAGGATTCAATATCAAGTCCGTGTGTTATTGCAAAGATCACTGCATTAAAAGCAGGTGTTGAAATAGCATACAAATGTCCACCTGCATTGATAAAATTTCAGATCTTGGTGACACAATGCACTGTGAAAATATTCATACCTGTTACTACTTCTGCATTAGTACTGGCATCTTCGGGAAAATTTTTAACAGTGTACAAACTTTGTTCAAACCTGGGTGTGCAGTCATTTATATCAATCACTGATACCACCACCTACAAGTAACAATAGAATTAAATTAATTATTTTATTTAAACATTGTGAATATTTAATTTTAAACCTCATAGTAATTTTTCGATTTTCATTTTTTTTCAAAACCCTTATCTTGAATGATTGCTTTGATGTTTATCTATAGAAGAACCAACTAGAAATAGCAGGTTAGCATGGAACTAACTGGCTAAAATTTATTGGCATAAAATATTCGGGTTTTAATATCTTTGTTGCAGAATTGAATCTGATTACATAATACATGTCAGGTAACTCAGGGGGGATAGATGACTAGAAGCACTAAAAGTATGGATGGATGGATGGATGACTAGAAGCACTAAAAGTATGGAGGAGGACGGACGGACGGACGGACGGACGGATACACAAATGACAGAACTTCATCCAAAAAGATTCATTTTCTCTTGAACTTTGCTGGATAAGAAACAGATAATAAGTAAAGCAGTGTCTAAATTTTAATGTTTCCAACTTTTAAACAAACCTTTTTAAAGTATTTTCACACAACAGCAAATAGACTCAACCTATCATTATTATTTTACAACATTAAAGACAGCCAATTCTCTGTATCCTTTGACTTTTCATTGCACACATACAGTTAACCTTTTGACTGACAGATATTTTTTTCTGCCCAAAATTCAGTTAATTCATATTTTCACATTTTGTAAAATTGTTACTCTAAATTTCATCATTTTGGTCCATATGGACAGTTTCAGATACTGCTTTTAATTTTTGACCGAAAGAATTGTCACATTTCATATGAGGAGGGAGCAGACTGTACACACAGTCATTTTGTTAATGGTGCCAAAAGTGACAATGGTCTTCAAAGGTTAAATCAAGTCAAAAAGAAAGTCATTGTTCAACCAGAAATAACAAATGATAATGAAAGTCACTTACAAGGAAGCCAGGTGTTCAGGTACATTAATTGTTTTTTCCTAATTCCATTTTTTCTCAAAATTAAAAGCAAATTAAATATATCTGCCTTATTTAAGTGACAAGGGTGCAATCAATCTCCATAATTTACAAATTAGCTTCATGAATTATTCATAATCATTCCAAATATATGATTTATGACAAACTAATGCACCATTAAGGCTCCATAACATTTTGATGATTTTTGGAATTACTTGGCTCAACAGTAATTTATTTTGCTTACTCATTCCTAAGCTTTCAAAACCGATCTTAAGCTTACAGTTAGATGCCCTTAGGTAACTTAACTGATTCCATCTAATTGGGGATTACTGTTGTCCAGAAGTTAAAGAAGTGTGAAATTACTTGTATGGTAGAATGAAGCTGATTCCAATACAACTATGGGTGTATTTATGAACCATGAGAAAACTTGGTATGGTAGAAAACCAAGTGCTATTGTTATAGTTAAATGTTTGAAAGGATTCAGTATGGTGAAAAATCACATAGGGACAGATATTCCTGAAATGTAATGAGCAACCCTGTCTTGCACCTTAGGGATAAATGGGAAACAAAATAAAAATATTTCAAATAATGATGATATGCAAGAAGTCACAAATAGACACTGTCATAGTTGTTGGACAAATATAATTCATACTTTTTTGGTTATTACTAGTTATTGTGGATTGAACATGAATTTGCACTTTAAATCAGATTAACAATTAGGCATGAAAACAGATATATAACAAACTCAATGACCCAAAGATGAACAATGTATTTGAGATAGTGCATGGATTCATTATTAGGACACCTGTAAAGCAGACAGAAAGCAAAAGAAGACAAAGGTAGTAATCCTGCATGGAATCTTCAATTCACAATGCCAGATGAAGTTGAAGTGCATTATCATTGGAATGTGTGTAGGCACATTCTGTCAAAGCTGGAATCAAAGATTTAGTTCTTGAACTAATTCTATTTTAAGGGATTTAGTAGCTCCATTATGTGCTTTCCAGTGAGAAAGCAAGCAAGCACAATCATGAGAGCATATAGTTGTTAAAATTGGCCATAAACGTAAATACACTGCTATGTTTACAAGAAGTAGCCTTAAACAATATTAGGTATCTGTTGATTCCAAGGCTTTAATTGTGTACATTATTTTGAAATGATCTCCCTTAGGCATTGGTCGGTATTTGCAAGTAGAGATCAGTTTTGGCATTAACCCAAGGTATCTATGTACTAAATTTGCTCAAAATCTGCTCGAAGGTTTTTGAAATTTTGCCTATACACACACACATCTTACCATTGTTTAGTAAACCTAGGCTACGCAAACTTGACTTAAATTGAATAAATATTAATATAAATTATGAAAATAGTGAGGGTCGTCAAAATGTAGGTCCTGTCGGCACAAGTCGGTATAAAGTTAAATTGAAGTCACAACATAGGTACCACACACGCACAGACAGACAGACAGACAGACAGACAGACAGACAGACAAAACTCATTTGCAGACAGGAGCTAAAAGAGCAATAGCTGCTTACATCGACAGAGCTGGATAGGCCTTCAGAACCTTCTTCTATAGCTTTTATTCTAAGGGTATACCGTCTTGGACCTTGTTCATAATCTAAAGCTTTATTGACTGTTATCTGACCACTTGTAGTTCCAATAGTGAAGATCATCAGATCTGCTCCTTGTGACATAAATTGATAGGTGACTACAGTGCCACGGGTGAAGGAAAACGCTTCAACACGAACCAAACTGTGAAATGAAAAAAACATGTATTAGGCAAGTATATCTATTGCCTAACAAGGGATATTAGTGTTTAAGAGGTGTACTATTTCATTATCTTGTTTCAATCAAATATTGGAGGGCCCTAAATCTGTTCAAAATATTGAGATATGTCAGATAATTAACAACCTTTACTCGAAGACCTAGGGGGAAAAAACATTTCTATAAAATTTTAATTTCAAAATTGTTTTCAAAATAGTCTTCTGAATGAAGGAATATTGTATTCGCTATATTAATAGATTATGCGCTTCTATAACAGAGGTGTGTCTATGGTCAAAATAAGTCACATTTTGATGATCTACCGTATGTATATATGTAATTTGGGTTTTATATGTTCACCTTTATTAAAGATGTGCTTCTAAAAGAGCAAATATGATATTCTATTTTGGATAATTTGTAATTTCAAGTAACAGTATTATAAAAAGTCAAATCTCAAATATGTGAATAACAGACAAAGAAAGTGAATGGGATTTGAGAGGGAATACAGAAAGAGGCCGAGGCACAGGCTGACACTGAAATCCATATAAAATGAGTGGAGATGCTAAGACAACAATGATATAGAATCTTGCATTATCCATAGCAAGGAAAGGAATAGTTTTTACTTGAATGATTTTTGAGACTTTCGTTCAAGCATGTGACGCTTGATTAACTCAGAATATACTCATGACTGCATTGTAACACACTCAATGTTCCAGATGTCTGGTTTCAATATTGAACACAGTTGGTCAAAATATTACGTGTTATAAGCAAAGAATGGTACAAATGTGAGTTCAGAATAGAGAAATCTAAACACACATTTTAAAATATGCAGTGAATTGCTTTAGTATCAACAAATTAGCTTGAGATTTGCAGGCATTGCTTTTTGGTTCATAACCTTTTCATTGAAAGGTAAAATTCTATAATCTTGTGAACAGTCAGTCTAAACTAATTGAAAGAGTTATTGCAAACAGCATGAGTAAAAAAGTTTTTTTTTCTCAAAATATTTTGCAAAACTGATTTTTTATTTTTTTAGTAATACATCCACATCTCAACTCTCTGCTAACCCAGGTAATGTTTTCTTCTAAAATAAGAAATACATGTGGTTTGTTGCATGGGGGTTTTTAATGCAAAAAATACAGTGAATATGAAGGACTAGATCATTTTAATGTGGAGGTGTGACATGTACACTTACGCATAACCAGATTGTGTATTTTCAGGGATATCAACTTCATATCTTGCTTTGACAAACTGTGGTGGACGTCTCCCACCTATAATAGACACAGCTGCTAAAGGACTGTAGTTGACACCGTCATTGGCTCTAACCCTCAGGATGTACTCAAATCCCTCCTGGTATCTCTGTCCTCCTTGTAACTTGGTACGAATGGTGCCTGTGGTTTGATCCACTTCAAACAGACCTTGGTCATCTGGAGAAAAGAATGAGGTCATCAAAATGTCTTTAGATTTGTCATAGTGAGGTTAACATACCAGAACAATACAGGAAATACAGCATGAAATTGTTGAAACTCAAGTAGCTATCCCACACAGAGACACCATAGAGCAGCATCAACAATTTGTCTCAAAGATCCTTTTCAGATAGGACAATTTCCTAACTTTAAATAGGTACCTACTCATATGAAGACTCCAGGCGGCAATTAAATCTTTCCAGGATTACAAAAGTTAAAAATGATAAACTTTAAAGTCTAGACAATTTAAGTCTATAGAGGCAGAGCATATAATCAAGAAACATGTCGTTTAAGACCTTTCCTAGACTAGTTCTACAGAATTATAATCAAGTCTAATTTGAACAATGCTGGCTAGAAAATAAATAGATGAAAACTTATGTTAAAGGGGTTGTGTACACTCAAATGGGATTAGCTTATCCCATATGAAATTGAAATGAGTCACAATGCAAATTGCATTTTAAGAAGAATTGAAAAAACAGTGTGGTACTCCCATGATGCAATTCACTAGAGATTATATCACAACATAGTAATCTGCATTTCAGTGCAAGTAGTATCATCATTGTTTGGGTTTCAGTGAATGATTTCATCTATTTCTGAGTTTCAGTGCATGATGTCAATCGTGAAGGTTGCCTGTTTTTCACAACATTAAGTACAATGAGAAAAATGCACCATGGGAGTGCGTGTCACCATACATCTAGAATTTCATTACTAAATCCTTGTTAGTCAAAGCTACTCAAACACAAACTGCAACCATTGTAGTGAAGATTTCACTATAAAACATATCAATTTTTACAATAACGTGAACTTTCATTCATTACATTTTTATTCTTTTTTAAATCCTTATCCTGTGTGACCTTAAAAGACAAACTACTTGCTAAGTTTGGAATTATATAAACCTTGTTTGATGCAGTTATATGCACTTGATAATAAAAGAAAACTTAAAACTCCTTATGGTATACGAAGTAGAAATGGGAATTACTGTCGGCTAATATAGCTCCCATAGTTACAAAGTCAAAAACAGTCATGCTAAATTACACTACAGTAAGTGAATGATGTGTTTGCTGCTCACCTGATGTAGAATCCAAGTTATAATTCAGAGAATTACTGTCAGCATCACTTGCTTGTAACTGATATATGGACACACCAGTTGGAGCATTGGTAGGTACAACTGCATTATACGGGTACACAGGCATAGACCATTGAGGAGACTCATCATTCACATCTTCAACAGTAATTACAATATGTACTTCATTTGATACATCTGAAATATAAAATAAACAAGTTAATGAGCAGAAATCCATTTCAAGATAGGCCTATAGGATAGGCTATCAAATATAATTCACCTTACTCATGTCTGCATTAATTGGTAATTTCTTAAATTTATGATGAAATATATTTGGTATTATTTGTAACCATATATTTAAAATGGTAAGTGCATTTACTGATCACCACTAGTATAGTAGTTGTTTCACCATATCTTGATCATGTTCTTACTTGGGTTGAACATTAAAAGTGTCAACCTCTACTTTGGGCGAGTGTGCAACTCAACAGGGAGGCCAATGTCACTGTAACACAGGTGAGTGTGCTATAGACTATGTAGGGAACAAAAACCACTGTACCCACAGGGCGAGTGTACCACAGACTCATTAGAGGGGTCAAAGACACTGGCAGGGTTTCATTTACTTCAAGTTTTGAGTAACCATAGTTGATGTCCACAGATATTTTGATTCAACCAAGCTTGGCTGATCGACCTGCAATAAATTTGATGATAGAGCTGGCTGAATAGCCATGTTATGCAGTTCCAGACTATATTATTTCTGCACTGCAAAATGCACAGTGTGTATGGGTAATAGAAATAAAACATCAGCAATCACCACAAATCAGAATGTATGCAGTATTATTCTTGCATAATAGCCTAATTATGGACATAGCGCATAATGAAGAACATTGCAAGAAAATTAATTTTTCAGATTTACGTACACGACACCAAAACAATGATAGCCATCTGCAGCGGCTCCATCATGGACCCAAAAGTTGTGTCAATCCTCAAAATGTAATCAGGCATACTGCACTAATTGGCGTCAGTATATTTTCCCAGAAATTACGTTATTTAAGGAAATTTTACATATATCGATGTTGCTGCTAAGATACCATACGAATAAACCTCTCAATTCAGAAATATGGTGCAAATTTGCGGCATCACTCAATATATTTATAACCACTGTATGCTCGTTCCGGGGACATTTCATTCATCCACAGCATAATGTCCACAGTCAAAGTAGAATGTATCTGATATGTATCACATAATTCTTTGAATAAAAATGTGCAAAATGTACTAAAATTGTTGTAAAATGACTGTGTTAATATTAAAATGATGCATTTCTCAATAATAAAACTAAGCTTGTGGAAAAAAGAAAGTACATAAACCCAGGCCCATTTATTGACCATCAATATAGATGCATTGAACGGATATTTTTTCCCATTATTATTTTCATTATAAAAACGATTTGAGTGGCATCGGCTATCCATAAACTGCCCTAACATAATTAATCCAAACATGCTGGATTTAACATTAATTATTCTATCCATCTATTCTAGTCGACATTCATGCACATGTATATTCAAAAATATTATGATAATACCTACGAACAATAAATTGTGTATGAATTAATGCATCTTTTATTCTCAGTTATATTAAAAAGGTTCCATTTTTTTGTAATATGTTATTTTATGATAATTTAAAAAAAACATTTGTGTTGTTATCTCATGGGTACCAGGATGTCTGAAAGCTAAAAAATTTCACCCAATACATTTAAACTATTATCGTCTTTCTAACATTATAGTTTATACACAGCCATCTGTGCAGGGATTAATTTAAGTCACAGTACCAAATAATGAAATTTACTATAAAAATATTCGAACTGACATTGTTGGACGGTACATGTGTAACCAGATTATTGGGTCTTAGTAATTACACATGAATAGAGATTTTGCACCATATGGATGCAAAGGCAAGAGAAATGATTTAAAATCTCTGCAATGCTATAGAAAATTTCAGATCATGCTCTATGTGAGTATATGAACAACTGTCTAAGTTTAAGGAATAAACCATGAATGTGATCACAGATTGGGGGGGGGGGGTGATGATGGGAGAGGGGGGAAGGGGTGTGGTTGATAAAAAATTAGAAATAACTATCATAGAAATATTAAAATTGTTTTTGTCATTCCAGAAAAATAATTGTAAGGTTCATAATCAGATCTGCAACACAATCTGTACACACACACACACACACACACACACACACACACACGTCCACCCAGAAAATAATAGTTGATTCTGAAATATGAAAGCTATGTTGAATGAGCCATTCACAATGGTGTTTGCAGAATGCATCAGTATTTGCAGAGGGTGTGTGACTGACTGCTCAACCATGCCAATCCAATACATATTTGGACCATTCATAACACATATGCATCATCAAAAAATAATTCAGTATTTATGATACATACGACAATTATTGCAAAATATTGAAATTTAAATCAAATTTGTGAGCATGTTTACATAATCTTTCGATCACATCATCTACCAAAAATATTTTTTTTTTTTTTTAAATGTGATTCTAACATCAATGTCCTAAATAACCTGTTCACTGCAAGACCACACGTTATATGTGGTATGTAAAAACAGAACAAACAAAAAAATGATGTCAAAAATCGGGTGGGATTTACAATAATACATATTTGTTGATTTGTTAATTTTGATGAAGTAAGGGTATCTCAATGTAATATTCCCCTTTTCAATGATCAGCATTTCAACATTTAATTAAAATTCAAAATTAAATTGTAAATTTTTTTGGCTGATGTAATATGAAAGACCTTGCAGAAAATGGAAAATCATCTATTGTACACACTAGAAAAGGCAGCTACAGACAAATAAACAACTAAATTCAAATATGTAATTTATTGTTTACTTTATACATATACATGTAACTACAATCAGCAACTCGGGGGACCATGTTAACAGTAATGAAGAATGTACAACAAAAGCCAATAAGGAATACTATAAATTGGAGATCACAAATGCCTTCTCAAGGTGCCATGTTAAACCCAGATTGTCTGCATTGTGTCTGTTTTGTTTTTCATTGAATTCCGGGAATCTTTTAGTTCCGTATTCAATATGAGAAATGAAGATGCCCTTTAAGATTGTTTTCTGGAGAAAAATCATCCTACATCAAATTTTCTTAAGAAATTATGAATATTGTTTTAAATGAAGCTTAGGTAAAAGATGTAATCTGAACGAACACTGTAATAATGTGTTGTATAAAATGATTCATATTTACAATTTGATGCGCAACAGAAACTACAATGCGAGTGTGATTCACTGTTCGGAAAAATATGAAATAGTCACTGCATCAGTTTTTCAGACTTGTGCAAATTTGTCTGTCACAAACTTAAAATTGACGATTTCAAAACATAATTTCCCACCAAAAAATTAAATGGGGATGGCAGGATAAGAGTTAAAACAAAATCCAATTAGCTCAGATAAAATAAATTTACAGCACGTTGTAACTTATAGCGTTACAGTGACAGATGTATAATAAAAATCAGTTGTGAAAAATACTAATGTTAACCATTAATAAATACTATTAAAATATTTGCCACTGAAACCTTTGAAAATATATAATACAAAATAGAGAGCATACAGAGATTTGTTGAGCAAAAAGGGGCTGAACCAGTCCTTTCTCATGCGTGTTGACCTTTTATAATAATATTTCGTATTCTACTGAAACATTTTAAAAATCTGAAGGCCACGTCAATTTTCAATGGATCCGAGATTTAATATCACTGACAGTGAAAACATTTCTGCCAGAGTTTGAATGGAAGATTATCTGGAAATGGAAAGATTGTGGTTGGTTCATACTAAGAAAGACAGGAACTGAAAGTACACATGGGTGGTAGTAAAAGCAGCTATTAGCAGCAAGGACATTTAAAATAGCCTGGTGTATGTCTTCTGGTATATAGTCCTTTTATAGGTCATAAACTTCCAATCACTAATTCAGGTAATTGTGAATGGACAAGACCACCACTGTAATTTCACCAACAACACTCATTGTTATGCTGGCCATTATGATTGCTTTGTACAGTAAAAACATTCACTATATCCCCAAGAGAGGAAGGAAGGAAGCAGAGCTTAAACTTGCACTGTTCTGGAAATCATCAATGTCGTTTTTCCACATGTATGATGATCATAATAATACAACTAGATACAGTTTGGAATTCTTCTACCCAAGACACTTGCTTGGTTTCGTTCATTCACCAAAACTCAATTATTCAACTGTACTATAATGAATAGTTCCTAGCTTGTTACCACATTTTTTTTAAAGTTCCTATCAAGCATATAAAACAAATTGTTGCCAAGCAAGTTTTGGGACCAACTGGAGGATTTGGTGAACCAAGGCAATGGCATAAGAAAGGAAGAGGAATTATTCATGATCAAAAATGTGTACAATGATAATATGGTTGCAATAATGTATAAAAGTTTCTGTTCTCCACTACTAGGAAAATGGTGAACCCCTTTTCTATGCCAATGTTAGAAATCATGGAGTTAATACATGGGTAGTACACATGTACCAAATAATTTGAAACAAATCTTTTGCCTCATGGTTCATTAGTGTTTCTATTCAGAGGTATGATTAAATGTACAAGTGCTAGTTTATTGGTGAAGTAGTGGGAATGGTACTTTCAACTGGTGGTGTATACTATACTCCTTAGTCTGGCAATCTAATATATCATGCATGTTTGGCTGCACTTCACAAATTATGCGGTCCAGCAGCTTTGGCACATTGAGAGCAGGTACTATATAACTGTACTCCCGGCAACCAGTCTTTTCACTACACACTATAATTTGTCGGAAAGAATGTAACTTGTGATAGGTGTGTCAACTTGCATACCTACGTACAATGAACTAGCATATCATAACAGGCTTTACAAAAACCAAAAGGACAAATACTCAGTTCACTGGTGGTAAAGAGAATTAAGATTAATTTAAGTCCATCAATTATACAAACATATTCAAAGAGTAGAGACAGAATTTATTTCCAGTATTTTATTACATGCAATGTTTTGACTTGTTCGAATAAGCTCAGAGGCCTGTGACTTGTTATTGATGCCACAAGAATGTACTAGTAAATCAGCAACTTAGTGCCCTATAGTTATTTGTTGATATTTTGTGGCTTTTAACTTGGCTTCAAACTATATGTA